CCTGTCACCACGCCCAGCTAATTTTTTGTATTTTTAGTATTGACACCGTGTTGGCCAGGCTGGTCTCAAACTCCTGACCTTGTGATTTGCCCGCCTTGGCTTCCCAAAGTGCTGGGATTACAGGCGTGAGCCACCGTGCCTGGCCAAGACTTTTGAGCCATAACCACAATACAGTTATCACACTTTTGAAAGTCAATGGTAATTCCTTAATATTTAAATTTCTCAATAGGCTAATTTTTATTTTTAGGGATGGGGGCTTGCTGTATTGACGAGACTAGAGTGCAGTGGCTATTCCTGAGTATTGTCATAGTGACTACACCTCAAACACCTGGGCTCACTTGATCCTCCTGCCTCAGTGTCCCGAGTAGCAGTACAGGGAGTATAGGCACTTCCCACTGTGATCTGCTTAGCTCATATCTTTTTAAAAAATGATTGGTTCAAATCAGGATCCAAAAAAGTTACATAAATTGCGTTTGATTAATGTGTGTCTTAGTTCTCTTTTAGATCTAGAGTGTCTCTCATCTTTTTTAAGAAACATTATTTGTTGAAGAAAATGAGTAATTCTGTATAATTCCCCACATTCTGGACTTTACTGATTGTATCCCCATGATTTCTCTGCCTCTTGTGTTTCCTGTTAACTATAGTAACTATAAGTTAAATACAGAAGTTTGTGATTAAGGTTTTTTTAAATTTTTGTTTCTTTTTGTCGAGGGAGATAGGGTCTTGCTCTGTTGCCCAGGGTGGAGTGCAATGGTGCCATCTCGGCTCGTTGCAACCTCTGACTCCTGGGCTCAAGCAATGCTCCCACCTCATCCTCCTGAGTAGCTGGGACTACAGGTGTGCACCACCAAGCCCAGCCAACTTTTATGTTTTTTGTAGAGATGGGATCTCACCATGTTGCCCATGCTTGATTTTTAATAAGAATACTTCATTGGTGCTATTTATAGATTTTGATTTATTTCTAAATTGTTCTTTCAAAAGTTTCATTTTATCTACTCATTTTACAGGACAGCTTTATCAGTTCCTGGTATAAATTCCTTTTAGCCTCAGCCTTAGAATGTGAATATCTATACGTGTATAATACTTCATATGCACACGATATACACATATTCCCGTGTGTATATATGTGTGTGTGTCACCTACTTACATGTCCTGTTACTCTTCTATGAATCTTAAATTTGATAATGCTGTTTTGAATCTACTTCATCCCCTATACCTTCTGTATTCTCTCTACTTGAAATCTACCCTCACTATCTTGAATGATGAAGCCTGGTGACAACTTTTTAGATAATTTTATGTAAGATAATTATTTGCTAAGCCACCCAGTGACACTCAGGTATTATTTGTCTCCTTACCATCAGCATCTAGTAGGTACTTCAAAATCAGAGCACTTTATTCTGTATTTTTAATCTATCTGTCTTTGCCTCTTACCCAGGAATGCAAACTCAGATGTCTATCCACAGAGGTCTAAAGTGGGCTGTAACATGGTTTGCCAGACTTTTTCTGTAAATAGCCAGATAGTAAATATTTTTAGCTTTTGAGTAGTTTTGTGGGCAACTACTTAACCGTGTACTTTGCTATTGTCACTTGAAAGCAGCCATACACAAACCGTAAACAAGTGAGGCTAACTTTGTTCCAATTTATCCCATTTCTTTGCTTTTAAAAAAGTACCTATGTATTCGCTTAGCTGGAGTTGGTGTACAGTCTGTAGTTTGCTGATCACAGGACTAGAGGTTTGTTGCCATGTGTGAATTTGTACTTAATCTCAGACTAAAAGAAAGAAAAGCTGGAAAACCACTGTATTTGATAAAATATCCCATTGTATAAGTGTTCCCAAATTAGCTTAGAATGTTATGAAATATTATGAGCCAGTAATGTTTATAGGCTTATTTCTGCCTGAAGACCACTAGTTTTAGATCTCTATATTTTAATTATCTTGAGAATCTCATCCTCATTGCCTGGCAAAATAAGCACAGAATAAATGCTTGTTGAATAAATAAATAAATGAACCTCATACATTATTAATTTGTTTTTGTTTTCTCAAACTATTAGGAAATTTTGTCTGTGGCTAAAAAAAATAAAAAGGAGAACGAGGTAAGAGATTTATAAGATTAAGTTTAGAAGTCATATTTACTCCCCAGTTATTAGTCCTTTTTCTGTAATCACCAGTGTACATTTTTCTCACTTTATCCTGTTTCTTTGCTTTAAAAAAATACCTATGTATTCATTTCTTCCATATCCAACATTTTTCTTTTTTATGTATCAACTTTAGTTAGGTATTTTATTGCATGATTCTTGATGTATAAGTGTTAATTTATGGGTCTAGCAATGTTGCTTTTAACTTGTGAATCTGGCAGTGATACAACTGCTCATAGCCATGTGGCTATAAACCATGAGTCATCTTATGGAAGCTGTGAGGGATGCCTTTGATGAGGGATGCCTTAATCTTGCTTCAGACCTTAAAGATTTTTTAAGTTTCTTAAAAGTTCTGTTTGAGAAGGCTTGATTTTCGAGCAGCCTCTTCACTTATCCCATTTTATGTAGAGAGGTTCCTTGTTATCTCACTTTTTATTGCTCAAGTACTGAAAATTACCAGGTTGCATAGGGAAGCAAAATAATCATGACATGAAAATATTCATGAATGGATGTGAACTTCAAGTAGTTAATTTACATATTAAAGATTTTTAGGCCTTTGGGAAATTAATGTAATGTTTATAAAATGAGAGATACTCTATTTGGTCATACAATTTTGTCCAAAATTTATACTATAAAACTGTCTTGATTTTTATTCTTTTGTTAAGTATAAGGACTGGTTTATGGGTGCAGTTTAGTTGGATTTTTAAAGATTTAGTTAGATAAACATTTAGTTGGATTTTTAAGATAAAGTCTTGATGTAATCTTCTATAATTTACCGTGGGATTTTGGCTTCATTTTATAACTTACAGTCAGTCAGGAAGAAATAATTGTTAAGTACTGTATTTTAATGAATTTTGACACTTGCGTACACTTGTGTAACTGCCATCCAAATGAAGGTATAGAGCATTTCCATTGTAGAGGGATCTCTTCTGTGTTTTTCTAATTATTTTTCCACCCCTAAACCCAGAGGAGGCCACTTTGTACACCTTTTATAGGATAACTTATTATTTCCCTTCCACTCAACATGTCTATGATACTCATTTATGTTGTTGAGCATTTTAGTAACTGGTTTCTTCTTATTGTTGACTAGTATTCTGTTGAATGAATGTTACAATTTTCTCATCCATCCCCTTATTGATGGGCATTTGGGTTGTTTGCAATTTGTGACTTTTATGAGTAAGGTTGCTATAATAATTTGCATGCAAGTCCATGTGTAGACATGTTTTCATACTTTTGCCTGTGTACCTGGGAATGGAATTGTTGTGTTACATGGCAAATGTATGTTCATAAGAAAGTAGATTTGTTCCCCCCAAGGTAAATGCATCATTTTATTCTCTTGCCAGCAATGTTTGAAAATTCCAGCTTATATTATTGTCAGCATTTGATAGTCTTTTTAATTTCAGCTATTTTATTAAATGAGAAATGGCATTGTGTGTGGTTTTTAACTTGCATTTTCCTAATTACTACTGAAGTAGAGTATATTTTTATGTTCTTGATGACTGTATGTTTTCTTTCTTTCTTTTTTTTTTTTTTTCTTATTCTTTTTGAGATGGAGTCTTGCTCTGTCGCCCAGGCTGGAGTGCAATGGTACGATCTTGGCTCACTGCAACCTCTGCCTCCCGGGTTCAAGCGGTTCTCCTGTCTCAGCCTCCCAAGTAGCTGGGATAACAGGTGCACGCAACCACGCTCCACTAATTTTTGTACTTTTAGTGGAGACAGGGTGTCACCATTTTGGCCAGGATGGTTTCGATCTCTTCACCTCGTGATCTGCCCGCCTCGGCCTCCCAAAGTGCTGGGATTACAGGCGTGAGCCGCCATACCTGGCCTATATGTTTTCTTTTGTAAAGTATCTGTTAGTATCTTTTGCCCGTTTCTTTTGCCCGTCTTATTTATGCATACTGTATTTTCTGTGTAACAGTTTAATAAATTATTGAGTGTCACAATATTAGAAGTTTGGAAGAAAGGTATAATTCTAATGATCCTTTCAAAAGTATGTGTCTGATTTTAATTTGTAAGGGTTATTCTCAGATTTTTTATATTTTATTTTATTTTAGTTTTTTGAGGCAGTCTCCTGTCACCCAGGCTGGAGTGCAGTGGTTGTGTTCATGGCTCACTGCAGCCTTGACTTCCTGGGTTCGAGTGATCCTCAGCCTCCCGAGTAGCTGGGATACAGGCAGTTGCGTGCAACCAAATCCGCTAATTTTTTGTATTTTTAGTAGAGACAGGGTTTCGCCATGTTGTCCAGGGTGGTCTTGGACATCTGGATTCAGGTGATCCTCCTGCCTCAGCTTCCCAAAGTGCTGTGATTATAGGATTAGCCACTGTGCCAGCCTGTTACTGTTTTTTTTTAAGTAGCTTTTCATTTGTAGAGGGATGGAGATGTCTGCAGTTTTTTAATCCAGATGTGATCTTAGTCTTCTATACCTAATGATTATAGGACTCAGTAGGGTTTGTTAGTTCCATTTTCTGATAAATGGTGGCATACAGCAGCATTTTGTATAACACATCTTATTAAACTTTTTTTCTCTACAGGATGAAAACTCCTCTACTAATCTCTGTGTAGAAAATCTTCAGAAAAATAAAGATTCGAATAGTATAATTAAAGATAGATTGTCTCAAACGGTTAGGCAGAATACTAAATTCTTTTTTGACCCAGTCCGGAAGTGTAATGGTCAGCCAGTACCTTTTCAACAACCAAAGCACTTCACGGGAGGAGTGATGCGATGGTACCAAGTAGAAGGCATGGAATGGCTTAGGGTAATGAATTGTAATTTTTAATACAACATATTGGTTTTATTTCTATAGTAGCCTAATAATGTGATGTACCACAAGTGGAGTCATTTCTGTCATGTTTCATTATTATACATTTGTGTGTGAATACCTACTTTTTGATTTCTTTAACCTGAATTTTTAGATGTGGAAATTACCTTGTTAATGACTTCCAACACTTTTATGGCTTTAATAAAGGATTTTCCACAGTGTTGTTATAATTTATGGTGTGAATATATCAGTTTTAACATAATTCTCATCTTTGGGTGTGATTTTTTTTTTAAAAGAAAAGAAATGAAATATTGTAACCCTGTAGTTGCTTATATCCGAGTTTAAATACAGTATCTATTATTTCATCCAGATGCTTTGGGAAAACGGAATTAATGGCATTTTAGCAGATGAAATGGGATTGGGTAAGACAGTTCAGTGCATTGCTACTATTGCATTGATGATTCAGAGAGGAGTACCAGGACCTTTTCTTGTCTGTGGCCCTTTGTCTACACTTCCTAACTGGATGGCTGAGTTCAAAAGATTTGCACCAGATGTAAGACATGCTTCCTTATGTTAAAATTATAATTTTACATTTTTTTTATGCTTCGTTGTTGTAGAAATTAAATTGTAGAACTCCTATAATTATATTGGTTCCTGTATAAATATTTTGTCTGATTTGACTTAATCTGTAGAGTACCCTCATTTAAATTTATATAGTATAGGTTTTGGAAATCCCTGACATCTTTCCTAAAATATTCCAGAATGATTTTCATTGCATTGGTTAATTTGATTCAACTGAGACAGACTTAGGTAGAGATTTTATTAAAAATTCTGCTTATTCTTCACTTGATCTTTGCCAAAAGGCTGAGAAGACAGGAAGAGAGTTTTCTGTTTTTTGTAACTTTTTTTCTATACACGTTACCTTCTGCGTTTTTTTTTTTTTTTTTGAGATGGAGTCTCTCTTGCCCAGGCTGGAGGACAGGGAAGCAATCTTGGTTCACTGCAACCTCTCTCTCCCATGTTGAGTCGATTCTTGTGCCTCAGCCACTCGAGTAGCTAGGACTACAAGCATGTGCCACCATACCCAGCTAATTTTATGTTTTTAGTAGAGACGATGTCTTGCTGTGTTGGCCAGGCTGGTCTTGAACTCCTGGCCTGAAGAGATCCGCCCACCTTGGCCTCCCAAAGTGCTGGGATTATAGATGTGAGCCACTGTTACCCCCGCACCCAGCCCTTCTGCACATTTTTGCCTTATGAGAAATTCTAGAAGTAGTGTCACCATCTGCCTCATTTTTTATATATATATATATTATTTATTTATTTATTTTGAAAAGGAGTCTCTCTGTCACCAGGCTGGAGTATAGTAGCTGGGACTACAGGCGCGCACCAGCACACCTGGCTAATTTTTTGTATTTTAGTTGAGACGGGGTTTCACCATGTTGGCCAGGATAGTCTCGATCTCCTGATCTTGTGGTCCACCCACCTTGGCCTCCCAAGTGCTGGGATTACGGGCGTGAGCCACCGCGCCCGGCCTTTATGTATTTTATGTATTTATGGGTTTTTGTTGTTGTGTGTGTGAGAGAGTTTGGCTCTTGTTACCCAGGCTGGAGTGCAATGGCACTATCTCGGCTCACTGCAACCTCTGCCTCCTGGGTTCAAGCGATTCTCCTGTCTCAGCCTCCCAAGTAGCTGGGATTACTGGTGTGCACCACCACGCCCAGCTAATTTTTTATTTTTAGTAGAGACAGGGTTTCTCCATGTTGGTCAGGCTGGTCTGGAACTCCTGACCTTGGGTTATCTGCCTGCCTCAGCTTCCCAAAGTGCTGGGATTACAGGCATGAGCCATCCCGCCCGGCCCTTGTATTTGTTTTTATGACTTTATTATTTTTATTTTTTCTTCAGACAGGATGTTGCTCTGTTGCCCGGGCTGGAGTGCAGTGGCCATTCTGGCTCACTGTGGCCTTCACCTCCTAGTCTCATGTGAGCCTGCTATCTCATACCTGAGTAGCTCATGTGAACCTCCCATCTCACTCCACTGGGTGAGTAGCTAGCACTACAGGTGCGTACCACCACACCCAGCTAATTTTGTATTTTGTGTAGAGATGGGATTTCTCCATGTTGCTCCGGCTGATCTCGAACTAGTCGCAGACTTTAGAGATCCGCTTGCCTTGGCTTCCCAGAGTGTTGAGATTAGAGGTGTGAGCCATTGTGCTGGGCCTGACTTTTTTTTTTTTTTTTTTCATTTTTCTCCCATAGTAGTTCAATGATTTGTTAGAATTGCTTGGCTTATTTTGCTATAGAAAAATAGAACTGAAATTTTAAATTGTATTTTTTCCCTCAGAATGATTTATATTCTCTAAATAGTCAATTTTTACATTTTGTTCTTAAGTTTGATATAAATCAATATAAAATTTTTCAGATCCCTACAATGTTATATCATGGAACCCAGGAGGAACGTCAAAAATTGGTAAGAAATATTTACAAACGGAAAGGGACTCTGCAGATTCATCCTGTGGTAATCACGTCATTTGAAATAGCCATGAGAGACCGAAATGCGTTACAGGTACAAATGATCTTCATTGTTTTCTTTGTAATACACAAAATTTGTTTTTCTTAATTTATACCACTTTCTTACCATCTGGGAGCATTTGTCTAATTTGTTGTTGTTGAAATTATAGATTATATTGTGCATATACCTGTAGAATCTGGAGACTTTTATTAACAGAATGATTGAGATGAAGGCCGTCATTTGTAACAATATAATTAAAGCTTATGGCAGTTTAACATATGGCTTAGAATCATCCAGAAATAGACCTAATCTCTGAATGTACTACAGATATATTTGTGACAGTTAACTTTGAATATACGGAATTTACCTATCGTATTTTAATCAAATAAGAGTATTTGAAGACAAGTTATTTTTAGAGTATCTTATTGGGCTATTTGTTAACATTTTCATTTGTTTTCTTGATGTTGTAGCTACTTACTTAAATAATTTCCTGTTAGCGTAACACAATTGAAAAATTGTGCCTTCTTCTTTCGTGCCTTCTGTTAATTCATTTATTGATGTTTTGAACTTCTTCCTCAGTGCTCTACCTCATTCATTTATAATTCTTGACTGCTTTGTTTTTCCTTTCTCTGGCCGTGTGAGAACCCTCTTAGTGCGGTACCCTTAGGTTTATCTTGCTTGGAAATAGGAAAGTACTTAATGGTTTCAACATAAAATTAAAACACGTAAGTCGTAAGTGGAATAATTATGACTTGCATAATTATGACGAGTATTGTCAGGTTTTGCGTGTGTGCTGGTAAAACTTTGGAATATGATTTGCAGAAATCTTAGCTCAAGAGTTTAGCAAAGTTGACAAATGTGTACAGCATTAAAAAGTATTTAAACCAGGCCGAGCTTGAAGGCTCATGCCAGTAATTCCAGCACTTTGGGAGGGTGAGGTAGGCAGATCGCTTGAGGCCAGGAGTTCCAGACCAGCCTGGCCAACATGACAAACCCGTGTCTACTAAAAATACAGAAATTAGCTGGGTGTGATGGTGCACATCTGTAATGGCACGAGGATTGCTTGAACCCGGGAGGTGGAGGTTGCAGTGAGCTGAGATTGCGCCACTGCACTCCAGCCCGTGCTACAGTGAGAGTCTGTCTCAAAAAAAAAAAAAAATTCAAACCAGCAGTCTGCAACCATTTGGCACCAGGAACTGGTTTTGTGGAAGACAAGTTTTCCATGGACCATGGGTAGGGGATGGTTTCAGAATGATACAAGTGCATTACAATTATTGTGCACTTTATTTTTATTATTATAAAATTGTAATACATAATGAAATAATAGGGCCGGCCGTAATGGCTCACGCCTATAATCCCAGCACTTTGGGAAGCTTAGGTGGGCAAATCACTTGAGGTGAGGAGTTTGAGACCTTCCTGGCCAACATGGTGAAACCACATCTCTACAAAAATGCAAAAATTACGTGGGCACAGTGGCCCAGCTCCTTGGGAGGCTGAGGCAGGATAATTGCTTGAACCCAGAAGGCAGATATTGCAGTGAGCGGAGATCACGCCTCTGTACTATAGGCTGGGCAACCGAGTAAGACACTGTCTCAAAATAATAATAATAATTTTATAACTCACCATAATGTAGAATCAGTGGTAGCCCTGAGCTTGTTTTCCATCTAGGGATGATGGGAGACAATGACAAATCATCCAATATTAGATTTTTATAAGGAGCGCACAACCCAGATCCCTTGGATGTGCAGTTCGCAATAGGGTTCATGCTCCTATGAGAATATATTGTCTCCTGATCTGACAGGAGGCGGAGCTCAGGCCATAATGTGAGCAGTAGGGAGTGGCTGTAAATATAAATGAAGCTTCCTTTTGCTGTAAATACGCATAAAGCTTCCCTCCTTCACAGGTGCTTACTTCCTGCTGTGTGGCCTGGTTCCTAACATGCCATGGACCCCTACAGGTCTGTGGCCTGGGGGTTGGGGACCCCTGATATAAACCATTTCTTTACAGTAAAAGTAATATATACCAATTTTTTTAAAGGGTAGTGTACAGGAAGATGTAAAAGCACCTATAATTCTACCTGAGAACTACTATTTTTTTTTTTTCTTCCTGTTTTTGAGACGGAGTCTTGCTCTGTCGCCCAGGCTGGAGCGCAGTGGCGCGATCTCGGCTCACTGCAAGCTCTGCCTCCCAGGTTCACGCCATTCTCCTGCCTCAGCCTCCCAAGTAGCTGGGACTACAGGCACCCCTGCCACGCCCGGCTGATT